CCTCCATGCTTTACTGTAGGAATGCTGTTATTTGGATGGTGAGATGTGTTGGATTTCCTCCAGACATATCGTTTGTTGTTGAGGCCAAATAATTCAATTTTAGTCTCATCTGCCTCAGAGTTTTCAAGGTGTGTTTTGGCAAAGCTCAGTTGTGACTGCATGTGGCCTTTCTTTAGGAGTGGCTTTTTTCTTGCAACCCTCCCATACAAGCCACATTTGTGGAGAATTTGTGATATTGTTGTCACATGCACACAATGACCACTCTTTGTCATAAAATCCTGCAGCTGCTTCAGAGTTGCTGTAGGCCTCTTGGTCGCCTCTCTGATCAGTTTCCTCCGGCTCTTTCATTCAGTTTGGAGCGACGTCCTGATCCAGGGAGGGCCTGTGTTGTACCAAATACCTTCCACTTCTTAATAATAGACTTCCCTGTGCTTCTAGGCATTGATAAAGCCTTGGAAATGTTTTTATATCCATCTCCTGACTTCTGCCTGCACAACTTTATCCCGGAGATCTTTTGACAGTGCCTTGCCACCCACCGTTGATTGTTTGATTCAGTTGCACTACCAAGGACTAAAATGCTCCACACTGTAAAAAAAAATGCCGTAAAATTCACGGTAAAAAAAAACGGCAGCTGTGGTTGCCGGAATTTTACCACTAAACAAAACTCATAAGAAAAAACAACTAAGAAATAGTTATTTCAACAAAAAACATCAAATTTGAAATGTAACGCTGGGAATTCTGGGAATGTCAATTTATGGTTATTCACTGTAAATTATACGGTCTTTTTCACTTCCAATAATGGTATACTACCATAAAATTACATGTCCAATACAGTTTTTCACCGTATATAGTAGGGAAAGTTACCGTTAACCATTTAACAGGTTTTTACTGTAGCATTTTTACAGTCTTTTACCGTTAAATTCACGTTCATTTTTTACAGTGCAGGAAAGCTCTTTCATGCTGAGCTAATCAAAATGAGCACAGCTGAAAGTCAAATGGCTTTGTGTGCCATTGAGAAGATGATTAGCTACACCTGATTGAGTTTACAAGTCATTTTTAGGACGGGGGTGATCCTTTTTCCCAAACATTTTTTTATGTAAATACAGCTGGATAAAACAAAAAAAATGTTTCCGGCTGCAAAGCAACAAAAGTAGATGATTTAGTTACTTCTGGTCACAGAAAATAACTGAAATCTCTCTTGGGTATGTAAACTAAAGACGTCTAAGCAATTTTCCCCACTTACCTTGCTTGAAATAGTTACACTGTAAAAGCACATTTCTTAATTGCTGCAATTGCCACACCATTTATGATAAAGCAACCGCAATCATCTTGAAAAAATTGCCCTTTCTACTACGTAATCTAATCCAATTCCTGGGGTCCAAATGACACTGTTACAGCTATTATAATTTTGGATTGTTCATTTGTTAAGATCCTTCATAAAACATGCAGAATCATGTGTTTATCATTGCAGGAGTGCAGTATGGACAGATTGCTTTCATTATGCCATCTATGGAAGCGAAAACATGTTTTAAAATAAGATATCATACGCAAGTTACAGGTTTTAAAACAGTTAATGATGCTAAGAATAAGATATAAACATCAGAATTGACTTTATTTTGTGCTAAGGGTGTGGGATGTTTTACCTTCATCATATAAATGCACAGTTATTATGTCAACAAAAATGACACCTCTATTACTCATATTAAATTGCAACCAGCAGGATGAATACATGCTCTCAAATTGAATATCAAAGCTACTTTGTTGCTACTCTACTGATCTGTTCCTCCTTATAAAGCCCAATGTTAACCAGCCGTCAAAATCCAGTATTGTGCTTCGCATAAAACTAGTTAAAGAACATTACAGTTCTTTTGCTACAAACATGTGAATTAAAACAATACATCTAACACTTCAAATCAGAAAGTGGTGGCATATTTCGTCAAGGGAGATATATTGTTATAAATGTGATTTGACTTTATTTTAGCTGGTTTATCATATTGAGGGAAGCACATGAGTAATGCTGGAACTGCCTAATGAAGTTTTGCTAAATATGGGTATTATAAAGTTCAATAGTTGCTTTAACTATCAGACTATCACTGGTTTTGGGATATTTGAATAACAGCACTAATCTGTTATATCTGCTGCTATTTCAGAATTAATAAAATACACTGGTTTCTTTAGCTTCAGCAGACATCTTGGATAACAGCCATTGCAACTCCCTTCACAAGATTATTAAAGATATTGCATTGCTGATGTTGTGAGACAGCAGTCATCCTCCCATGATTCACTTTCAGGCTTGAAAGCATCATTTCTGAAGAGCCGTTCATAAATGTGTTTGCTAAACCAAAACATTTGAGAGCGTTTCATCAGACAAGCATGACAGCTTAAACTATTGGTCATCTTGAGGAGGTCGATCTGATATTCAGAGCATCGTTTTTAGTGCAAGTCATCCAATAAAATCGAAAGCAAATTCAAGCATTAAGCATGCACTTTTCTCACAATTTATTAGAGATACAACATGCAGGCTTCAGTGCTAGGCAAATCATATATGAGGTCTACCATTACCTAGTGATCAGTGATAGTACAGTAAAGAATGGTGATCTTACAACACTGTCTGACAAGCACTTGCAATCTCTCTGAGCTCATTTATTTGAAATGAAGGAGAGTCATATGAGATTATGTTCAATGCAGCAAATGGACTTCTAGCACAATGTGTTTGCCTGCTGTTTCACATTTTCATTTATGATGCACATTAGAATGAGAATGGACAATGGATAATGTGTTTATTGCTCAACAATGGTGCCATTTCCTATTTGGATGTTCATGCACATAATGGTTCTCTTGGTGAAATCACTCCTCAATAACATCTCAGTGATGGAAATGTCTGTATCTGTGTTTTTTAGGAATGCCCCAGCGGTGTGGTCAATGAAGACACATTTAAGGAAATTTACTCTCAGTTCTTTCCACAGGGAGGTGAGTATATTTAAAGTCAGATATTCTCTACTACTATTTCCTTTTTCAGTTATACTGTACAGTGTGATTTTTTTAAGCTGCTTGATCTAACCCTTTATAATAGTTTTTATTGGTGTAACATGTTGTAGTTTGATTCAGTCTTATTAAATAATATTTTGAAAAGCCAGTTAACTTAAATTTACCATTTTAGGTTACCTGGCAAAACATACGTTTACTGTATTATTACAGTTATTGTTTCTGCAACAAATTTTGTTTATGCAAAATATTATGTTGCTTTTTGTATGTTTTGCCTCACTTTTAAAGTGAAATATCCAGCAAATTGTACTAAAAGCGATTTTCTGTCATAATTAAGTGCATAATTATGATATCAAAAGTTTAAATTGTGACATAAAAAGATTGAGATTTTAAAAATAATAATAATTATGACAAAAAAAGTCAAAATTAACAGATACTTAGTCATAATTATGGCAACAATTCTATTTTTCATCTTATAATTTCAATATAATAAAATAATTTAATTTCTCATATTTGTATTATGAGTATTATCTCATAATTATGTCTTAGTATCTCATAATTTAGATTTTTCATAATAATAAAAACATTTTTTATTTTGCAGTGAAAATGGGCTTCCATAGAAAGATTATTAAAACAGTGGAAAAATAAAAAGATATAATGATGGCACAAAAGTCAAAATTATGAGATACCAAGATGTAATTATGAAGGAATTCTACTTTTAGTTATAATTTCCACTTAGTATGTCATAATTTTGACTTTTCATAATTATGACTTAGTATCTCAACATCTCAAAAACTGTAAAATGTCATAATGGTGACATGAAAGTCAAAATTATGAGATACATCATAATTATGACAGAAACGTTTTCTTTCATCATTTTGACTTTCTCATAATATCGACTTTTTAATCTCATAATTATGACTTAATATGTCATAATATGACTTAATATCTCATATTTATGTCATAATTATGGCTTACCCAAGCACGATTTTTGTGTGTGTGTCTTTAACCCAGAAACTGTATAACATAAAATAGAAATGGAATATGAATTTATAGAACTAAAAAGTGGAGTTTTCCACATCATTTCAGGAGACCAACACACACACACACACACACACCACTGATCTGAATGGAGGTCTCCCAGTGGAAATGGCTGTTGTAGTGATTCTTTTCTTTTTTGAGTCACATGATTTGTGCCACTGCAAAGTCAAAGAAGTAGTTTTATAATTATGGGTTTGAGCTTCTCTACATCATTTGTCAGGGTTTGTGACAAATTTCTCTCACGTGGCCCTACTCATTTCCAGCCCATTCACATATGCACACTGCTTGCATTATTTATAGTATAATGGATCATAGCTTGTGCAAGCTTATGCATCCCCTTTGTTGTTGAATATAATAGGCTATGAAATGATGTAATGACATTGCTGTGATTGAAGCTGAGCAGTTTCCTGTTTTATTTTTCAGATGCATCAACTTATGCACATTTTCTGTTCGATGCGTTCGACACAGATCACAATGGCTCTGTCAGTTTTGAGGTAAGTAATAATACTAATGGAGCATTCTGAAGACGATCTTTCTTACACACACATGGCGTGGATGCTTGTGGATGTGCTAATTATTTATAGATATAATGCATGCCGTTTTAACCTCATCTCAACTGAAAGACTAAAATAAATATCAAATAAAATATTAAATACATTTTAATACAATTTTAAATTAGTTATATCATAGATAAATGTTGGACCATTTAAAATAAACTGGAAAAGTGTAAGTTTTCAGACTAAGTCATAAATATGAGATACTCAGTCAAATTAAAATGTTTGAGATAAAAAAAAATCATAATTATGACATAAAAATTGACTTTTCATTGCATAATTTTGACTTTAACGCATTATTTCATAATAAGTCATAATTATGAGATAGAAAGTCATAATTGTGACACAAAAGTGAAACTTCTTGGTTACTATGTCAAATTATGAGCCTAATTATGATATACGAATTCAAAACATGACAAAACGAATGTCATGATTATGTCATGATTTTGACTTTTTAATGCCATAATTATAACTTACCAAAGCATTATTTTTTTTCTTTTCTGGCAGAAATGGGCTTCCATAAAAATGGTGTAAATAAATAAATATGAGTTTACCAAACCTACAATTTTAAATTAGTTATATCATAGATAAATGTTGGACCATTTAAAATAAACTGGAAAAGTGTAAGTTATGACAGACTAAGTCATAAATATGAGATACTCAGTCAAATTAAAAAGTTTGAGATAAAAAAAAAATCATAATTATGACATAAAAATTTACTTTTCATTGCATAATTTTGACTTTAACGCATTATTTCATAATAAGTCATAATTATGAGATAGAAAGTCATAATTGTGACACAAAAGTGAAACTTCTTGGTTACTATGTCAAATTATGAGATACAGCCTAATTATGAGATACGAATTCAAAACATGACAAAACGAAAAAAAAAATTATGTCATGATTTTGACTTTTTAATGCCATAATTATGACTTACCAAAGCATTATTTTTTTTCTTTTCTGGCAGAAATGGGCTTCCATAAAAATGGTGTAAATAAATAAATATGAGTTTACCAAACATAAAAAATTTGTAGCCTGAATGCACTGTAAGTCGCTTTGGATAAAAGTGTCTGCTAAATGCATAAACTTAAACTTAACTTAACAACTTAAACTTAACTTAACTTAAACTTAATTTCCACATTAGCTAGTACAGTTTTAAGTTTTCAAGTTAATAATGGACAATAGTATAGCAATAAATTGTAAATTGTAGTCAAAATATGAGGTCAAAATTGACAAAAGATTTAAATTGAGATACTAAGTAATGACTATGAGATAAAAAGTTGAAATTATGACACGAGTCAAAATTATGAGAAGTCATAATTGACAAAACTTTGATTTTGTAAATTTCAACTTTTTATCTCATTATTATGACTTATGACTGCAATGACAAAAAGTAAAAAATTATGAGATACAAAGTAGAAATTGAGATATAAAGTCATAATTCTGACACAAAAGTAAATAAGTCAAGTCAAGTTAACTTTTCAAGTTAACAATAGACAATAGCAATAAATTAACACTATATTAATAAATACTGAAAAAAATTTTTTATTGTCAGTTCATTGTCATGTACCAACTGCATTAATGAATGTTAACAAATTAAACCTTACTGTAAAGTCTTACCGGAAAATCACTTACATGACAAGCGATTATATAAAACACTAATGAACAACATGCCTGTCTGTTGTGTGGGTTTCACAGGAAATGTTAGATATCATAAAGTCCATCTATGACATGATGGGGAAATGCACATATCCCATGCTTAAAGAGGAAACTCCACGACAGCATGTGGAGATATTTTTCCAGGTGAGATTGAATCGCTGAATTTTAGCATCTAATTTATTCTGTAAGGATTGTTCTTCAAATAGAAAATATTTACTAGATAGGAAATTGGTAAAGCAAGTAAATTTCCAGAATGTTCCCATCTGTGTCATGTTATTTATTACCAGGAACCTACAAATCGAGTTTCTACTGATGTCATTATAGAGATCGTCTAGATGTAATTCTAAGCAAGAAAAAGTTCTGACGCTAAATAAATAGAGCATTCTTAAATGAACACAATGATCGTTTGACCCTTTTTGTGTCTTGACAAAGTCATACTAAGTTATAAATATGAGATTAAAAGACATTAAAATTGTTGTACATTTTAGTCAAAGCTGCTAAGGCCTAATTATGAGATAAAAGTCAAAATTATGAGATACTAATTATGACAAAAATGTAGACTTTTTGTCATCATTTTGACTTTTTCTTAATCTCACTGTCTTATCTTATCATTTTGACTTTTTTAGTCATATTTATGACTTTTAATGTCATAATTAGCATTTACCAAAGCATGATTATTTTTCCGATTATGTGGCAGAAATGGGTCTCCATAAAAAAAGTGAATACAAATGGTGAAAAACTTGGTGGTTCTTTGGTAGAGCAAATCCATTCCCAGAATGTTCCCATCAATGTCATATTATTTATCACCATGATCCTACAGATCTAGTTTCTGCTGATGTTATCATAGAAATTGTGTAGATGTTATTTGAGGCTAGAAAAATGTCTAAAGCTAAATGAATAGAACGACCTTAAATGAACACAATGACTTTTTTGTGTCTTGACAAATAATGGACAAACCATGTCCTACTAAGTCACAAATACGAGAAAGTAAAAATTATCGTAAATTTTAGTCTAAGGATTTATAAACATGTAAACATGTTAAGGCATAATTATGAGATAAAAGTCTTAATTATGAGACACTATTATGTTATTATGACATAAAATTGTTGACTTTTTGTCATCATTTTGACTTTTTATTCCATAATTGACTTAGCATCTTATAATTCTCATAAAGACCTTTTATCTCATGTTTATGACTTTTAATGTTGTAATTATCATTTACCAAAGCATATTTTTTCCCCTTGATGGAAATGGGCTTCCATAAAAATAGTGATTAAATATGGGGAAAAAATAAATGATTGCCAGACGCAGCAATTTGGTTCACTGGTAAAGCAATGATCCTTCAGATCAAGTTTCTGCTGATGCAATCGTAGAGATTGTCTAAATCCAATTCTAAGCAAGGAAAATGGCTAAATCTAAATGAATAGAGCAACCTTAAATGAACACTGACCGTCTGACCCTTTTTGTGTCTTGACAGAAAATGGACAAAAACAGGGATGGAGTGGTCACTATAGATGAATTTATAGACTGCTGTCAAAACGTAAGTCTATTTTTGTTCTGAATGTGATGTTCTGCAATGAATGTCTTTCCTGAAAACATGTACGATACGTTTTTCTTGAGTAGAGCACTTAGAGAGAAAAGCTCCTTACATAATGTTCAATGTTGTCCCGAAGCCAGTCCATTAGTCTCCACAGGTGAGCTGTTATTAAAGTGTTCACCTGTGTCCGTTTGTTCCCTACAGGATGAGAACATCATGAAATCAATGCAGCTTTTTGAGAACGTCATTTAACATCTGAATGGACTCTGTTGGCGGGCCAGCTCATATAACCACCTTTATACTCCACAAACCCTACGTCCTCAATGATACAGTACACATCTGATTACTAGCAGTGCTTTACCCATAAACCAAAATGAACAGCATTTTTAATATCAAAGAAAAATTATTTTTTACATTTTTTGTCATGTACTTGTAAAAAAACGTATACATTTAAAGTAGACAAATAGTCTGTTAATCATCTTTTTTTTCTCCAAAGTAACATTTCATACATTGACCCATATATGAAATACAAACAGAATGAATTTCTGTATACATTTTTCACAAATCCATTCTTAAATTGCAACAATTTACAAGGAATATTTGAGATACCGTTTACTTAACTCATTAGTTAAAGGAATAGCTCACCCAAAAGTGAAAATTTGTTGAAAATGTATGTATTTATTTATTATAAATTTATGATATTTATATGATATGATATTTATGTATCATCCAAGAGTCTGTTTTTTTAATGGGAACAGATTTGGAGAAATTTAGCATTACATCACTTGCTCACCAATTGATCCTCTGCAGTAGTGTTAATTTTGTCAGCAATTTTTTATTTAGTCTTAGTCTTTTAAATTAGTCTTAGTCTTAGTCCTGGTGTCAAATGTACTTTTTAGTTTTTATCCTATTTAGTCGGCCTTGTCCTGTTTATGTTTAGTCAAGTATTAGTTGGCTAAATGTCTGAGCATTTTAGTAGTTTTAATCAATGAAAACTTAAGTCATATTTTCGTCACGCTGCTGTATAATAGTTAAACTGCTAAAAAAAAAATTGAACTCTTGATATCTGGCAACCGCACACATGAAAGCTCGTTTAGTAGAGGCTTTTACAACAGTCTGCAATAGTATTTTACCTCCTTTTTTTCAACAAAAATTTAAATAAATTTTGGTATAGTTTTTATGTTTTAAAATAGATTTTAGTCTCGTCTTTTATCGTCAACGATATTACCGTATTGGCCCGAATATAAGACGACCCTGATTATAAGACGACCCCCC